CTGGAAAATTCAACACCAGCTGTTCTCAAGGTCATCCAGCTGTAAACACAATGACTCATCAATGTCAAATTTCGCAGAAAGGCCAGACAATGGAAAATAAAGTTTGAAGCTTTTTCTTCAAAATTAACGCATTTCCTTCGTTTTATTTCAGTTTTAAATATTTTTTATGTTTAACTAGCTGCAAGGACCCGCTTCGCTGGGTTTTTATTTGTATGTAATATAGTTTTTTTATATATATATAAAAGACTGTTTTTCTGAGTAATCTAGAATCTAGCTGCAANCCTTTCGGTCCACATTAGGCCGAGTTTTCGAGGTTCTACTGTATTATTAAATATTCTATGAAATTAATAAGTTTAGAAAAATTCAGCAACGAGTTGTTTAATCTTCCCAGAAACATTTGGTTGCACCATCTGTTATGATATTTTACGAAAAAACTTATATTTTTAACTATTATGAAATGGCAAAAAAACTTAATTTTAAGGATATGGATAGGTTTTATAAAAATTGTAAATGCTAACAATGAGTAAAAATATCATTAAGTCTGAACCTACTGGAGACACACACACGATTTTCATTATCTTTCTATCTCTCCACATTTCACCACTAATATATAACAGCATCAAACCACTTAATAAATAAATCTCCTGCAAATGACACCTCCAAGATATTTACATTTTTTGACACAGGAAACATTGAAACGTGAAAAAATTAAAAGAAAATCGGGTGTAATTTCTGTTTGTTTCGATGTTTGTATGCGGGAAACACAAGTTTGTTAGCTTTATTTAAAGATTAATAACTTTCCTGCTTTTTGTCGAAAATTTTTGAAATTTATCAGGGAGGTTTGTTTATTGGGGAGAATAATGCTGTTAAATTTGAGTGGTTAAAGATTGAAAGAATAATAAGGGTCGGATGTATCTCCAGTAGTGTCAGACTTCATGACGATTTTACAATGTTCTGTAAAATTCATTCATATCCTCAAAATTAAGCTTTCTGCAATTTTCTAATAGGTAAGTATACAACAAACTTTTCATAAAATATCATAATAGATGGCAACATTTGATGTTGCCGAGAAAGTTAAGCAAATCGATTTATTTCATAATTTTTTAACTTAATTCTTGTTTCGATTTATACGTGTTACCTGTACTTTCTTAAATGCTTTTTATTGAATTTACAATTACGGTAAAATAAGTTAATTTTTTTTAACAAAAATTTTATAAGGAAAATATAGTAGGGAACATGTCATTCGTTTAAGATTATATGATGTATACAATAGCATTTCTATAATTTTATCGTTTAAATGATATTCATGCAATGTCTAACAACATTTGCATATATCGTGTAAAGAGATAATTCGACTACCAAATCATCTATAAGTAATGAACTTAAAATTGATAAACACGAAATATATAATATGTAATATACCAATCAATGCATTAAATATCAGTAAAATGGAACACTCCTTTGAAATACCCATCAAAAGTATTGAACAGTATTTCAGAATGTAAATCTGATAGCTTACCTTTATGTAAAAGTACTTAAAAACTACATAAAATATTATGTTTGTGATGTTATATCAAATTACGTTTGGAATGGTTGATGTATTGTTAACTTTATAAAGGAAATGCATAGCCAGTAGTCATTTAATTTTTTAATTTATTCACTATTGCGTTAAAGTTTAATTTGGAATACACCATTATTATTAATAGGCACCGTGGAATTTTCACGGATAATGAGTTTATGTTACTAGAATTTCTAAGAACAGTTTCATTTCGTTCTATGAAATTCAAATACGAATACAAACTGAGCATGAGTTCGAATTTACAAGAGGTATGTCTGAGCTGTTTCACCAGACCTTGTTGGACAACTGGTCTCATATTTGGGTTGCATTTGAAACTTGTAACTGTAAATATACAAAAAAAGATAGGGAATATCGAAATATAAAATTTAAGAATATCTATATTCGATTTATTGAACTGTTTTTACATGGATATACAGTTCTTCTCATATGGCAAGCAATTCCAGTAATCAATGAATATGCAATATACATTGGTTGGTATGTTGTATGCGAAAGTAATTTCATGTTGTTTAAAATAGTATTTTCTGTTCTATTTATAATTTATTGTATTTGTTTCAAATTTATCAAAAGCAACAAATTTAATTTGAAAAAGCCACTAATTAAGGAATAACTACTTTCGAGTGAAGATGATTAACGAAAATAACATCATATTACAATATGTTACTTTGTTCTTTTCCTTCGTTATAATAGTAGTCATTGATTTATATCAAATTGTGGTCACGTTATTTTTTTACCCTTACATAGAAAAAAAGCAGAAATTTCACGTGGAAGCTTTTGTCTACTATTTTCTGCTCCTTAAATGTAGGTTTTATGATTAGCAGAATCGGTTATTCCTTATTGTTAGGAGCATTGTTAGTACTAATCTCGCATAAAGAATTTGAGCAATTGTCGATAGAGCTTCTTTTAATAAAAAGAGTCGCGTATAATTTACGAGAAAACATAAACATACCTATTATGAAGAACTTTGGATTTTCTTGCAACAGTTCGATTCTAAATATAATTTAGTATTTGGATTTACTTACTTCGGAAGCGTTTGGTTGACAAGTTTTTATATTATGCGTTTTTGTTCTTAGAACTTCATTATTTCATTAAATTGTTCGTACTCCTATTAATATTTGGGCAATATTGTATATTTACATAATTATTAATCTAATAAATAGAAGTAGAGATTAGTAGGATATGAAATCTTGATTCAGAATAGAATACACTTAAATATAGATTGCACAAAGTAATTTTTATTGAAATAAATTTAATTTAGGTGATTAATAATCGAAACATTTTATATTATTTTTATTAAAATGGTTAAATTCCAGATATGTATACCGTCATGGCGGCAATTCCTGTTTTTCTGCTAGCTTCGCTCCGGACACCGTGGCTGTTTGGTGACGAGTGTTGTCACGTGACGGTATGCGCGCGCGCGAACGAAAGATGGCGGCGGCGAAAAAGAGAAAAAAACGAACGAGAGATCGAAAAAATCACTAGACAAATTATTAAAAATAAGGAAAAAAAACGCATTTTTACTCACCGTAGTCCTCGTCCATTCGGCTACTCTAGCACGCTTCTTTCCGCCGTCGCGACGCTATTCCTCTCCTTTTTTTCTCTTGCTCGCTTCTTCGGTATCGCTTCTAGACTGGCTTCGGAGCGATCGTTTACGAAACACAAAAAAACGGTTCTCGTATTCTCTGCAGATTCCGCCGACCACCCGCTTAATGGTCCCTTTCGGCGTCCTCCCTCTTTCGTATTTGCCACGCTTGCTTACGACCGTCTCGTCTATTTCCACGGTCTTTCCGGGGCCTCCAATTTTCAAACTCGTCAAATCGTTAGAGAGACCGTCGTCGCGTGCCGAACGAAATTAGCCCAGTCGACACCGGTAGCGTGACTTACCGCAACGGCCAAACACGAATACTTCGACGAACCGTCTATGCAAATGAGGTGGCAGACGAAAGCGAATATCGTTCCCCACGACGACGTCTTACCAAATTTTCCCTCGAAAGTACCTTCGAATGCCGAAGTATTATTAACGTTGCACTCGCGACGTCGGAAATAAACCGAACTGGCGTCATTTCTGTAACTTATTTTACGAACGCCGTCGCACTTGCCACACTCGGCTTCGACCGGTTGTTGCAAATCCATCTTAAAAGCGAATTTTACATCGGAAGGTATCCTAACATCGACACCTAACTCCGGAAATTCCGATATTCCAAGCGACGAAAGAAATCCCCGGACGTTAAATCGTCGAAATCCAATTTTTGCGAAATTCGAACTATACGCAACTCGTCTAATTCAAATCGCTTGCACCGTCACATGACATCACTCGTCACCAAACAGCCACGGTGTCGGAAGAGAGGCTAGCAGCAAAACAGGAAGTGTCACCATGAGGTATACGTATCTGGAATTTAACCTGAATATTTTACATTCATACTTGCCTTTCAATTGTACTATTGTACGAGCTGCTCTATGGGGAAATGACGAGAATTCGTTCGGAATCTTCTCCCATGCGGTTTTTTTTTATGCTAGAGTACGGTTATCATACCCCTTCTCTTCAACTACGGGATAATTTTTAATAATTTCCGCCAAGACGTTCTTTTCTTCTTCCGAAAAATTCCTACACGTTTTCGACATAGTCGCCATGTTTCTGACGTCACACGAATAATCTGATTGGCTGAGCGACTCCTAAACCAGGGGAATAATGGGGAAGAAAGTAAGAGCCAACGTTTCGCCGAGATTCGTTTAGATGGTGTTCGGAAATAAACGATCATCGTCTTTGCAACGTATTTTAAACCGCGGTTCAGCCAGCCGATGTCTATAGGCCGTTCGACTGTTAAATGTTGTTTAACGTAAACGCTGTCTCTGCAATCGGCCCGATATGTGTACAAAAATTTAAAATTAAGTATCACTATCGAGAAAAGTGACCTTATCTTACTAAAACAGAAAGGAACTTCCTTTTCACACGTTAGTGAAATTTCGAAAGTAAATAGTTTTTACGGGCATTTTAACAAAATTGGTTTCTAAACATCTTTTAGAAATTAAAGGAAAATAAATCTCTTTTTAAATATGAACATCGCGTCAAATATATCAAGATTCTCACAATTGCAGAAATTCTTTATTTCCGAAACATTACTAACTTAAAATAAAAAGCAACCATTTTAATAACATTTCAAAGACAAATATTAATGAAGCTGGGAATTATCTTATTCCTTCCGAGTGTGAAACTTTTTATATTTATATTAATTAAGATTTTGTCTGCTGTGTCTTCTGATGTGAGCATTCAAATTGGATTTCCGAGAGAACTTTCGTAAACAATAATCGCACTTAAATGGCTTTTCTCCCGTGTGAATGCGAAGATGCCTCGTCAGATCATGCTTTTGTGTAAAGCTTCGTTTGCAGTGGTCGCAGGTAAAAGGTTTGTGTCCGATATGAAACCTCAGATGCCTTTGTAAATCGGAAGCGTGAATGAATCTTTTATCACATAACTGGCAACAGAATGGCTTTTCTCCCGTGTGAATCCTCCTATGAATTTCAAATTTTGACTTCCAGCGGAATTCTTTTCCACAATTTCCACAGACAAACTTCTTCTTCGGAGTTTGGTTGGCGAAATCTATAAAACCCAAAATATTAAACTTCAATATTAACGTTCAAAAGTAATCGATTGGTATTAATTACTATAACGAAACTCAGAAACCATTCGTTTAGCGTTTCTTGGAATTAATTCCTACACTATATCTTATCGAATAAATCTAAATTTAACAAAGATAATTAAGATTTGACAGCAATAATTCCGTGTTTGCTTTCAAAAAAGTTCAAAACAAAAGTTTATAGCAATATTTTCGTTTACCGATGTCAAAACTGTTCAAAAAGTTTATTAATCGACACAATCTTCACAGCGTATTTGCTAAAAGGTAAATGTTTTCCATTTAAAATCCATTTCTTCAGAACTTCATTCCTTTCTTTCGAACTTGTCCGAAACTCTTCAAGAGAAATCTTGGGCGCCTTTAAGATGTATCTTACAGAAAAAATTTAGAAATTATACATAGAGTAAGGGATAATGAAGTTTAATTTTGCCCTTAATTAAAACGTATTTGTAGATTTTTTAAATTATAAACAAAAGTAAATTTTAAATATACAAACGAATCTTTCGCATTGCTTAAGATGAGAGTTGCAAAATGGGAAAAAATAAGGTCCAGTTGTTGATGCTTTCATTGATGATCCAAAATAAAATGATGTGATTATCTGACTATTTTTAGTGCGTTAATATAAGGAGGCCAATTGTTTGTTTCAAAAGCAACAATTGATCCTGCGATACAGCTAAAACATAAATGCGTTAATTATCTACAAATTATAACTTATTAATTAAGTCGATTATAGATAATTGGCTTAATTAATAGGTTCAAAACGTTATAGTTTTAATTTTACTAATAAATAATGTTTTAAACGTCATTAAAATAATAAGAAATTACATTATTAATCTATTGATCAATTATTTTCTTTAGAAATACGTACAGTACCTGTATCTTTTATCCACTTTAAACTTTTACCGTTAGACAATTCGTTGGTTTCAAACGGTCGTTAATCTCGAACTTTCCGAGAATATTTTCTTGAATTTTAATTTATAAATTCGAGTAAATATAAATTTCAAAATTTATTTAAAAATAAATAATCATTCATTTTAAACTGTTGTTATTAATATATTTTCAAATTATAAATAATGCGTCGAACGGAAGTGATGTAGAGAACAATTTATAAAACGACAAAACAAAGTCCTTTATAAAAGTGTTAATAATTATGTTTATTTTGCATTAATAAAATGTTAAGTGTTAATAAATAAAGAAAGTATATTTATATGAAGAATTTCCAGATATTTTGAAACTTTAGAAAAATTCTTTTCTAAATCGTCATACACGTGCAAGTAATTATAGACCCAGGCGCATTTTATATATAAAAAAAATGGTTTTTTTTGAAGAGAAGAAATTTTGGATTATTTCAGGGTAAAAAATAAGCCGAAATTAAGTAATAAATAATTCTGTATTTTTATATTTGTTTAAGATTCTGTACACTTTTTATCAGTCTAGCATTGAGCCAGTGTCATTGCTGCAATGCCAGAAACTGAGAAAGTCTACAGAATATTGTAGCATGCATCATAAATCAGTAATATATTTTCTAGGTTTGTAGCTAATAGAAACGTGGTACCTGATCAAGTTTTGCTACAATTTATTTTATAAAGAAAATAACTTTAAAATGAATATAGTGTAATGGCGGGTGACGAGAAAGTCAATTTTGAAAAATTAAAATTAAGATTAAATGAATGGTACTGTGAAACAAAAGGTTTGGAAGCTATTGTAATGTATGTTAAGAGTTAAAATGGCCATTATTTGGATATGTAATTTACAGGATAAAGTTAATGCTAGCATATGTACAGATTCTTTATCTGCTTTTAATATGATTAATAACACCAATTTACACCCCATTGCGGAAGAGATTCGTAGATTAATAAATCACTCAAATTCTAATATCACCATATCTTGGACACGAGCCCATCAAGGCACAATGGGAAATGAGAGGGCGGATACCTTGGCAAAGCAGGCAGCTGGGGATGTCTCATTACCAATAGAATATGATAAATACAGTATCGGCTCAATTAAAAGATTATTATGGGAAAACACCATCCAAATTTGGCAAAATGAGTGGAACCAAAAAAATACGCATATTACTTATGAATTTATACCAGATCTAAAAAAATTTTACTCTTTGGAATGGTTTTACCCGGACCATACTACAACCCAACTTATGACAAATCATGGCAAATTTGCTAGCTATCTAGCAAGATTTACAAACCGAAATGACAATCAATGCTCTACATGTCTTGCAATTGATGGTTCAAAGCATTATATCTATGATTGTATAAGATTTGAAAGGGAAAGGATAGAACTAATAAGTATATTAGAGAATAATGGAATCAAATGGCCGTGTAAACTATCTGATATCTTGACTAATGGGAGCACTTATAATGCTTTTGTCAGTCTTGCCAAACAAATTTATAAGATCAATAACCAAATTATCTATAACTGAGATGTACCCTATTGTAATAAATCACATTATTGATAAATCAAATATTGAAATTAATATTCACATAAATTGAACAATAAAATTGTTGTATTGGATGGCATTTATACTTATTTTCATGAATATCACCTGATTATAAGCATTGTTATAACATTGTTTATTGAATACGCGGTATGACAGAATTGGTCAATAGTGTGGAGCTAATCACATATTATTTAAAGAAATTTACCTGATTTTAACTGGGTAATTTGAATTGGTGGATGTATATCTAGTTATGTGCAGTATATGAATTGATATATACATGTAATGTATATGTATATATTGATAATATATTTGATACTTGCCGTATTACATGTTACAATTGATATGTAATTATAATAAATAATGATAAAGTGCTGTTAGAGCTGATATTGCAATATTCTATCTTTATACACCGTGAATGTATTTAATGCATTGTATATTGTAATATTGTTAAGCATTAATGAAACCTATTATGTATACAATATTCTGTAATATGAAATAGCAAAATATAAGGTGGTAATTGGTTATTACAGATATTGTAACTAGTGCAACTTTAGATAGTATTTATTATTTGAATGTTAGATAATATATAAGATATAAATGATGAATAAATATTGAACTACAGATATCATAATAAAATATTATTAGAATATTGCTGTTACAATAATGCTATAATATTGTTTGATAAATATAATAAATTACTGTTATAATAAATATAATGCAACATTGCTGCATAATAACATATTGATATAAATACTGTTAATTGAATGTATTATAAACTATTGTTAATTGAAATAGTGTCGGCTATAGTATGCGGGATGTATATAATTGCATTATAATATATGTGATGATGTCGGCTATAATATATGTATTGTGTAAAATATAGTATAATTGTACTATTAACAATGTTATTATATGGTGTTAAAGAATGACTATAATGATTATATAAATTAAATTAAGACAATATAATATAATCCTTAGATAAATAGTAATGTTATATGGAAATATAACATTACTATTCTGTGACGAAACTGAATTTTAGTCTTTTAAATTGAGATACCTAAATAAGGGGACGGCGAAATTTTCCTTTGCCCCGGGCGGCTGACACCCGCGCTACGCCACTGCATTCAGGGCCAGATTTATATTTTGTTAAGACTTGAGGCCCCTTTCCCAATTTTTTAATTTTATAAGAAAGACACATGTCTATTTATACAGGTTATTAATATATAACAAAATCTTTATTAAATGATTTAACTTTAACTTGTACGAAACGTTTCATCACAAACTCATCATAACAAAGTTTTGCTCATTGTTTCTGTCTGCAGAAACGCTGACAACAGTAACTTTACTTGTTAAAAATTACTCGCATTGCATTATTACGCTGTTTGGGTACATGCCTTCTTTAACACTTTGAAACACACTTTAGTTCAAATTAGGCGAAATTCGGAATACCCATCAAAGACCCCTGCAATATATTTATTTCAATAGCAATTTCTTTAAGTATTTTATTCGCAGATTGCTACGAATCTATCTGTGTTTTCGGGATTATTGAAATTGAAGAATGCATCAAATAATTATAGCATCTGTCAGCGGTTCTTTACAAACTTCACTGATGTGAATAAAAACAAAGCTTAATCATATTCATCGTGGACCATCGGTGATCGAGTGAATAAAATCATCGTCAACTTGAAGTTGGTCGTGGATTCGTTCCTCGCCAGCGCTGTTTTCATGGAGGTTAGCCACATGCTTAAATGTGGCGTAGTTTCTATAAAGGCACCCCTGAGGCATTTTCCCTTTAGTAAATCACCCAATGTCGTTTTGCTTGAATTTTGAATAATGTCTAGGCGTTGCTTGCTATGAAGTTCAATGAAGAGTTTTACTGACATGGTGTTTAATGAAATGGGGTCCATACAAGAAGTGCAGAGGAATGAATTGTCCCCTAGAAATTTGGATAATTAGCAGTTCTTTTCCATGATCTGTCATCACTTCAGTTTAAATAATAAACACTCCGTACGAAGTTATATAAAATGGATTCATTTGTGTATTTTTGTCATTTAAAATAATTTCCAAAAGAGTGGAATATGAACATCTTTACGCTATTATGTGTGTGTTATTATGATTTGAAGTAAAATACTACTAAAATACTACTTATATCCATTGTGAGTTTCAGTCACGGAAAAGCAGTTGTTTTTGCAGAAGTCTTGAACGGAATTGTATTTTGGATGCGCTTCAACGACAGTCCAAGATTCTACTGTCAGGCATCTGGCCAGTTTACAATGTGTGAGAAAAACAAAGAATATTATTCAAATTGGTTATTGTAAGATTTAACGTGTTACTAAAGCAAGAACACGAAGTGCGCATACAATAAAAAACTCACGGGAAGGACTCGAAGCATCCAGTTTATTTTTACCAAAGAAAAGTTTCCAAGAAAAAACTTGATCTTCATTTTGGTGCCATAATTCTTACTTGACGCAATATTCTTTTACAGGTCAGGTATTTTTCTTTGAATAGCAAACTGATTTTTTGACTAATTAATTTTTCACAGCCTTTCTATTGGTTGCGAGTTAAATGCCTATTTATTATTGCTACTATGGGGCCATCCATAAATTACGTAAGGTATTTTGGGGTGGGTGGGGTCAAGGATTTCTTACAATTTCTTACTCAGGGGTAAGGGGGTAATAGATCTCGTCTTACGTAATATTCTTATTTTTATTTTTTGATCTTGTTGAGTGGTGGCGTTTTGAATTCGGTTTCAATTTGGCAGTTTCTATTAAGAACTGGTTACAATTTTAATACGCAGAGAGAATGTAAATATCAGCTTACTATGATATAATGATACAGATTAAATAGTATGTGAGGACTCGATACATATAAATGGAAAACCTTTTTTTTTATCTAGAATCTAAAACTAAACTAATACTAGACAACTAAACTATGTACAGAAGATTTCTACACGGCCGATCAATTAATCGCTGATAACGTCACTTTTCCGTTTATTCACTGTCTTCCTGCTCATCTTTTCTGTTCTTGTTTTCATTCTCAAGAATTTTTTCTTTCCTGTAGAAGTCTGACAGAAGAGCCCTGGCGCTTTCAATAAACCTTTCAAAGCACTTCCAGAGATTTTTCTTATAAAAAATGTTTTGTAGTGTCGGTGGCAAATTATAACCTTCTTGAAGGCATTCCCGATAGAATGGAATGCGTTGATCGTCATATCGTTCACAGTGGAAAATAAAATGTATGGCATCTTCTACACTATTATTGTCGCACCGGCATTTATTAGTGTTTCTCTTCTTAAAGCGGTAGAGGTAGGTCATAAAATTGCCGTGCCCCGTTAAACATTGGGTGGTTTCAGATCTAGGTTTGTAGTCTCGGGAACAAATAGTCCTTACGGCGAGTCGACTTTTCTTTATAGGCTATTTTTCCCGCCTCCATATATAAAAACAGTAAAATCATTCCCTGGCTACGGTGCAATCATAAAAATTAATTTAAAGGCGTTTAAAAGGACAGTAGATTAAGAAGACGATTTTGTGATACTTCTGTGAATTAAATCTGTAATGTATTAATTCGTCCTGGCGATTTTTAATTAATTAATGTTGTTGTTACTTACAGTGTATACTTGTGTGTGTGTGTGTGTGTTGTAGATCAATAATAATAAAGCTTATTGTATTGCATTCCGAATTAAAATTAATTAAACTAATGAGTCTCTAACGTTTGTAATAATTAATGTACAGTATAGAATTTTAAATATTGAAATACTTGAATGTCAATCATAATCTCTTGTAATGTGCAATCTTTTGTAAGAACGATTTAAAATGAATATAAAAGAATTTTTAAAAATATCTTCGTATCAAATGAAAATATAACATGTCTATCAATAGTCGAATGATTTAATTTATGAAACGTTTCTATACACATGAAATGGTTTCAAAGGTAATGTGAAACAAAAAGCATTTGTGAAAAAGAAATCTTCTGGAAAGACAGGTGGTTAGCTTAGCGAGCGGCCATGCTAGTTGTACCATGTAGTAAGAAAGTGAGACGAGTCGAATGTAACGGCTAATCACGTGACACTCGGAATGTCACTTCTGAAACTGCTGCAGTGAGAAGTTCTAGTGAGATGACGACATACGACTTGTGATGCCTGATAGGATAGGTATCTGGCAAATAGATCTCACACAGCAAACTACAGCTTCTGGCCTAGAACTGTCCGACCCTCTTATAATCATTTTTCTATCATGAAACGCCGTATATTTGGTAATTCTGGGTTTCGAAGAACTTAGACGTTACACATTGATATGTCATTATTGCTAATTGACGTGTAGAGTCGAACGAAAACCATGATGTTTACCAGTCAAAAATCTACATAAAACGATTTTTACATAGATTAAAAAGACTATATTCTATTGTCACCAAACAATACTTTTTCATTATTTCGCTCTCTTGTACGAGGAATTAAAAATTTAATGTTATGAATTTAACGTTTTCTTTAACTGTAAGATGAAGCTAAACATTTCAAACAACAGTTTATGTTTCAATCTTTTCACTTAAAACAATTATAAATTTACTTTTCAAATATATTTTCGATAAATATAAAAAAATTATATATTATGTTAATTATATCAATTTTTGAAAGTGGCGTTTGCAGTTACTTCATTTTGTACTTTATAATAGAGAATTTTGCACTCGGACACAAAAGCTTTATATATTTTATGATACAGCATAAGGTACGAGTCGTCGTCTATTGAATGGAATTTTAATTAATTAACATTATAAATATAAACATTAATACTTGAGATTTTATTTTAAAAAATAATGCGCCTTTGAGAGCATTTTAATTAGTTTGCGTGGAGTATTAATTTCTAATACGGGTTAATAATAATTTTTGCTTTTCCATGTTTTCTTACGATCTTTTATATTTTCTTTTGCTTAAAATACTTTAAATTACCAATATTTACAAATATAACAATCACTAATTGTACTGTTTATCCTTCTAATTAAACTGTACGAAAGGTGTTCCAAATAATTACATATGTACTGTACATTATTACAACGTGTACAGTTTTTAACTAAAATTCATTTCGAAATATCCGTTAAAATAAAAACATAAATTTAACTAAACTGAGATAATCGCTGGTAAATCTGTAGTATACCCTTTATTCCTGTTGCGATGATACACGTGAATTAAGTTTGGTTGTTTTCTATTCAACCAGAGGAGTTAGTGAACGTCTGCCGACAGCTTCTACGAGAATTCTCTGCATTCTTCAACTTTAATAATCCCGAGAACACGGAGTGTAGAGTTGAAGCCATCTACCAGTGAAAAAATATAAAATTATTAATGTGGACCTAATCTTTCTATTAGTAAATTGCAGCGGTTTTTAAATTAGGCAATATGCATTACAAGTAATAAATACTTTTAGTCTTGTGTGATTTGAACAGAATTTTGGTAAATGCCATACTTGTATTTCGTGTGAATAAATTTAATCATACCAATTCACATAATATTTAAGTAAAGATACGTGCTATGCTTCTGAGTTATCTTTGTTTAGAATACAAAAAAAATAATAAACTTCAAGAAACAAACGAAAACATGGTTCGCATATTGGAAAAAGCGCAATCGTTAGATCTGCTTTATAATCTAAATTTTCACTTCAACAGCCGCGTGTTTAAAAGAATGGTTTCAGAATTAGTGTTCTGTATCAGAAAACAGTTGAGCTAACCGGTAGCCGAATACAGGAAACCATCGAACACTCGTAGTTAGTAACGAGTTTGAAAATAGTTTTTCCGAATTCTCTTCGTCACTCCTGAATAGAAGCCATTTTTCCAGAAAAATTAATCGTAAGTCGTACAATCCTTCGTGAATTGCCTTGATTATCTCTGCCTTATTTAATCCATCAAATTAGATTTAACGGTATAATTGTATATTATGGCTATTACCGTCTGTAAAGCATACAATTAACAGTTAAAGAGCATAGCTATAATCTTATGACAATTTTTAACGAAAAACGGATTTTCTACAAACTACCAATTCTTTTATAATGTTTTTTTTCTTTTTTTTTTTAAATTGCGTATTAATATCATGCATAATTTCAAAACCGCTGGAAAATGAAGTCTAATAATTAATTATACAACAGAATCTGTAAAACTACCTTTAGAGGGATCCTCTTATTGACGTTGTAGAAACCTCCAATCAACAGACACAAGGAGACTTTTCCAAATCTTTTGATGAAATTCAATACCTGAGAAAGAATTTATATTCAATACCAGCCGATGAGTCTGGCGTTGTCCGGCAAAATGTAACGATAGCGAACATTAATATTATTAGACTAAAGCCGATCTTAACCGTTTTCACCGAATGCAAGAATTTGGCCTCCCTCTTTCGAGGGTAATTGAAAAATTTTTAAATTGTCTAAATATACGTTCGATTTCCCGCAAAAACGCAAAATACCGCATCTAAAATAGTACAGTAAAAGTCGAGTTCTTCAGGGTAAGCTTTAACTCTCTCCCTCTCCCCACGATGGAAAGTTCAAAAAAAAAAATCCCTTCTTAATGTATATTGTCATGGTTGAAAGTTGAAATTTGGTACCCTAATGGTGTACCAAATTTCAACTTTCAACTTATACCCGTTTTTGCTCTGGCCTTATTATTGTCAAACCATCAGGATTATATTATAAGGGCATTAAATATATTTAAAGACAACATAACATATATCAGGAGTTTCTTCATTTAGAATAATAGAGACTTACACAAAAAAATATATAAATTTTTTATAGCGTCTTCTTTTTCCTGATTCACAGATCAATTCAGAAGTACAGTAACAGTTAATTGGCTTGAAGAAATAAAAATCTGCTTAAGACAGCAAAAAAATAGAATATTAAAAATTACCACAAAGTTAAAACATCATCAAAATCCCGACCTTTTATTAGAGGCTACAGCGCTTTCACAACTAAAGAATGATTAAAAGTTTTCACAATATCTACTGTGTCTTGTAGCACTTTTAACTGCTTTTAGCCTTCTGTTGGTCCAGAAGGGCCACCAGAGAGCTAGAAGCAGTTAAAGCAGCTTGAATTTTTAATCATTGTTTAATTGTGAAAGCACCTTAGCCTCTAATAAAAGGTCGGAATTTTGATGATGTTTTAACTTTGTGGTAATTTTTAATATTCTATTTTTTTGCTGTCTTAAGCAGATTTTTATTTCTTCAAGCCAATTAACTGTTACTGTACTTCTGAATTGATCTGTGAATCAGGAAAAAGAAGACGCTATAAAAAATTTATATATTTTTTTGTGTAAGTCTCTATTATTGTAAATAAGATTAAATATCTTAAACAAATCTAATTCATAATAATAATGATAAATTCAAAATAACTTTTAGCTTTTGTCGCAAATTCAAATCGCAATTTACAAATCGTCGAATGTCTTGAAATCCGCTTTGCATCTAAAATATTAAAACAAATTCAATTAAATTAAAATATTTAAAATGTTTTATAATAATAATAATAATAATAATAAATACCGTGAAAGCAATGCAGCATAGAAAACAGCAGCATATAATGCAGATAAACGAAAGTGTAATCATCAGCATGAAAATCCAAATTCTTAAAAACTCGTGCATATGAATATAAAAGTAAGCGTAATACAAAAAGCTCGTTCCCCAAATTATTCCGAAATAAAAAACTCCGCTAACTATACTGAATTTTGTGTTCCACTGATTTATAAAAGTCCACAAATCTTGGTGACGATTCATCAAATCTTGTAATTTTCTTCTTAGATTTCTGTCACTGCTTCTTATTATGCAGAATTCTGAACAAAGTTCTTCAAACTCTGTATAAGAAACACATATGACCATACCAATCAATAGTAAAGCATGTGCCACACCTCCTATAATTATTGTCGTGACAAATCCAAATTCAACAGTGCACATTAGAGCTTCAAAATGAAAGTATTGCTTTTTTTCAAATGCCGGATAATAAACATTCAGATTGACAATTTGAAAAATAATCGTAAATAATATGACAATGAACGAAACAGAAAGAGAGACATTTCTTACTAGAGCATTATTCTGGACGATCATTCTTTCATAGAACCATTCGTTTCTTAGTTTTGTAATCAGATCGATCTTGTTGTGGCTGCAAAAGGTCAGAGTGATCGAATAAGCAAGATATAATAGAACAAGAAAAATGTTCATTATTTTACCATCGTTTTCAAATACGTCATAGAATCCAAGACACAATGCGTATTCACCTACACTTGGTAACGATTGCCACATTAAAAGAACAGTAAATTGCCATAATGTAAACTGAAGGCATCGAATGTAGATCTTTGTCAATTTTGGGTGTGTATGTTTGTAAATTGGCCGCTTACAAGAACAAATTCGGAATGGATCCCAGCCATAAACCAAGGCCGTGGTCCAACAGGATGAGAAGAAACAGCTCATGCAAATTTCTTTCTCGATATTCGAATTCATCTTGCTGGTGCCTCTACACCTACGAAAAATCTAACATAAATGGAAATTCACTCGAGTTATAGGGTTATATAACGACACTATTTTAATTTTTTTGCAATTCTAATTTTCTAATAAAACTCATTTGAAGTGGTGCCAAATTAAATATCCTGAAGCAATATCCAGATTCTGCCTTATCGGAACTCTACGTAATGTGTTTACTTTACTAATTGAAATGTATACCTGTTTGCCGTAGGAGAATATTTCATAAGAATTTATTAAACGTGTCATTATCTGAGTATATAAAAATGAGGTTGCTTTTAAAGAGAATTAGATTACAGTATTTTAAAAGCTTATCGATTAAAAAGCATTATTTTTTAATATAAAATATGAGATGTCTGTAATATTCGTTATATACTATATTCAGGCAGGGGCGTAGCGTAGTGGGTGCGGCACTTTTTAGGGGGCGGAAAAATTTCATAATAAATAATAATAATATCTTGTAAAAATATGAATCATTTTTTTTTCATATTTCCGTCGCACCTACGATTCGGACCGATTGAAATGAGCACGGGGAATAATGTTACCATCCGGACAGTCCGAGAATCGACTCGACTCACCGTCCGGATGAACTATTAATTTTACCCGGCGATGCCGTGCGCAGCCTGTCGACCTTTCTTTTTTTTGTCTGTACGATTCATTCGTATTCATAAACACCCCGAATATCCGATAGAGCTAAGTCATACGTTACCCCTACCCAAGTCTCCCTAGTCGCTAACTGTAACTGATTTAGAACCGACATGCACTGCAAATTATTCTTCGCATTGCAAAATGACACACGCATGCGTCAGGAACTTCTGTTCGAACAAACTTCACCTGCCGTCCGGGTCAGCGATTTTAAAAAGGTGGCAACACTAACACGGAACTTTTCATTACTGATTCTGTGACGAAACTGAATTTTAGTCTTTTAAATTGAGATACCTAAATAAAGGGACGGCGAAATTTTCCTTTGCCCCGGGCGGCTGATACCCGCGCTACGCCACTGCATTCAGGGCCAGATTTATATTTTGTTAAGACTCGAGGCCCCTTTCCCATTTTTTTTAATTTTATAAGAAAGACACATGTCTATTTATACAGGTTATTAATATATAACAAAATCTTTATTAAATAATTTACCTTTAACTCAGTCTACAGAATACGGCCATTAGTTTGTTGCCGGGGCAATTCGGGGCCGAATTCGGAGATCGGACACCAATAGGAAATGTTTATTGAATTTACCGTAATTTCCGGCCGTAACTCGATATTAAGCGTTTTTACCCCAGTTATGAATATTACCTGCTGCTCGCACCTGACATTCACTTTAGTTAAACGTTTTAATTTTCTGTTTTCGCCATCTTAGGAAAAAAGTCGAATACCAGTTCTATTCTCTCACAAAACATTTTTCTACTTTAAAACAATTTTTTAGTCGCGGTTTTGAACTGTGGTCGTGACCCAGCGCAATGAAAAATATAAATTGTTTCTCTGATCAAATGAATAAAATAGCAATTCTTTAACTTTAACGAGCAACTCTTAAGACTTGCTCAAAGACTCAAGAGACAAACTTAAGAGTTGCTCAACTCTCGAGCAACTCTTAAATCAGCCTTGATTTTAGCAATAAATCTTGTTTAAGGTAATGACTATTGTGAATTGTTTTAAATTTTATATTTTAATAAATATCTTTATTGGTAGGAATAACTGTTTTTCATGGATTATATAATAGCATACAATAATCAATCCACTATCTAAACAACTTCACGCTATGTTTGTAAAGACTGTCTGCTCTTCATGATAGTTAATGGAAAATTCATTTCTTTAAATTACAAAATCAATATCTGGATAGAATTTAATAGCAATACACTATATAATAAAATTATAATTGATATAGTTGTGCAGATAAGTAGGTCTAGTTTGATGATATTAATCAATCAATAGCAGTAATGAAACGCCTAAAAGCTTCTGAGGCTAACCTCGTTGGTAAATGTGACCTTACATTCGTGTATTTGGGGTATGCAGCGATGTTAGAATGACTGCATTGTTCTTGACAAAGTGGTACGACATTTGTGATTAATAATTATTTATTACTTTGTTAGGTATAAATACTCTTTAGTTTGGAACATTGATATTTTAATTACTATTTGCTGATTTAACTTTTCTTTAAATATACGTAAAGTTGCATTTCCAATTATTTTTAGTCGTTATTGAATATTGATCTATTTGATATTATTTGTTTAATTGAGTACTCAGCTATGTAACGGATGGTATTAATATTTACAGGCAAATATTTAATATTCGTTTCATTTTATGTCTACGAAATTTACAATTATGACTACACTTACATTTTGTGTAGACTTCATCGTAAAAAAATTCAAAAGTGAAAATAACCTCCAAATCCTCAAAGTACTTTGTTTTTCTGTTTTATTAAAAAGCAATAAAAGATTAAACGTTTTCAAAATCTTGTACACCTTGAAAACTTTTCTGAATATTAACCGACAATTTTTTCATGTTACATTTTTCAGTTTCTTCAGTGTTAAATCGCCAACGAATTTAAAAAATCCAAGAGTCGACTGTATGGTAACTCTATTACCATACTTTTTCATATTTTTCATTGTACATGGTTCTAGAATTAAACTGACAGTACTCGGACACGTATGGAGCAAGTTCTACTGAACCGAATCGAATTAAATTTGGTACACATGCAATGCAGATCACGAGAAAGAAATTTACACTAGGAAAAATTTATTGAAATTTTCATCACCGGAAGAAAATGAGCGCTGAAAGGATGCAATTATAAGACGAGCGGACAAAATTTTATTCGCGATTACACTAGCGAAAATACATTACAACTTACGTATTTACGGTGTGCGCGCAATGTAAGATCCTTTCTGTCAACCACGCGTAGCGATAGTAAAACCGTATTACCATGTCACAGAATATTCGCCTCCAGCTCCGACAGAGAGTTCGTAGACACCGATAAACACGATCTTTCCAATAACCTTACGACTAACAGCGCCAATACTTCTCCTGGTGCTGAACATTTTAATTAATATCCTTTTATAAATCTCTTCCCCGTGATCTGCATTGCATGTGTACCGAGTTTAATTTGATTCGGCTCAGTAGAGCCGAACCCGGGCGTACCTCGGTAATATCAATTTAAATCTAGCCAGCTTGTATAAAATAGCAGGATAAGTTTTTAAGAAGAAAAATTTCAGACTATTGGTTAAAAGAACTGTATCAACAAACTGGACAAAGATATCTAAAATAAAAACATAATTACATATATATATTGTAGTTAAATATGATTTTATGAAATTACAAACGTCGATGGTAAAGATAATTTTGCTTTATGATACCGTTCTATCTTTAATAAAGTCGATCAATATTTTTAAAACGAAAGAAAATCGATGCCCTCTATTATCGTAATTGTTCAAATAAGAATAAATATCTAAAATAATCCCTCTTATTTTCCGCTAGTTTAGATAAATAGTAATTACTATAATAATTTACTAAATTGAAGAGTACTAAAAATTGTTATACACGTAATTTCATTTGTAATTATTTATAGTCACGATACACTAAACGAAAACAATACTAAAGGAATTAATACGTGTGCCCTACTTTTGTGTATTCATTCAAGATGAAATCAATGTATATTAAAAAGATATAGGAAACAATATGAAGTATATTTGCATGTGCCGTAAACGTAAAGGGCAAAAATAGCCTTTATGTTTATCAAAAAATTCGATTCGAATGACAATTACCGGGAATAGATGTATTTTCCACGTAAAACAATACAGTATTTTATTTTTAATTTTTCAGTAGAGAATATGGTTAGGGAGTGTTTCTGTGTATGTGTGTAGAATTTTGAGGCTTCAGTTTTTGGCGGACAAAAGTCCAGAAACAAAAATGAACTCCATTGTGTTTAATTTCATAAACAAATGCGTTCGGTAGCTGTTGAAATATCGTTTATTTAGTTTATGGGTTCGAAAGAATCGCTTCTGAGTGAACGGAATAATTGGGCTGCAATTTGAAAAAACCGTAGACCTATAACCCTCTGTCCGCGCTTCCTCAATCTGGAGAATAGAGTTAGATATATGAAAGCCGACAGTACGTATGTAAAGACTAGATATAGGAAGTTCAGATTAGCTATATAAGAACTTCCGATGCAACACGGAAGTGACGTTATTTCAATTAAAAAATGTCTCCTAAAAGGGGTTAGTTAGACTATAGAACGACTCAATTGTTAACTGGAAAAGTATTACGTACAGGGGAGAGCCACTATTAACTTGAGGTGGCGAATTGCAGCCCTGCATTGTGACGAAGTCGCAACATATAATTCCTCGTATTTTTATTTGAAATTATATTTCATTCCCATAGAGACAGCGGAAGTAAACAAAACTTAATATACCATGCATGATATTTACATACCGAACGGGAAAATTTCTTATCATTCAGAGAAATCCTATGGAAAATTACTCTTTTTATTGTTTGTCTCACTTTTCGGTAATGAAGGTTAAAGTCTGCCATCATCACTTAAGACGATTTCTGCAAACTTTCCAATATTTTCCCGAATAATATTGTACTTTGGTAAATATTAGCAATTATAACACGTANCTGAAACAGGTCGTATGTTTTATAACGATTTTTGTGAGCTCTCTCTCGATCGCGACTAGGGTATAATATAAGTATAGCTATCTTCCGATTTGTATATTATTTGTAGTAGTTCTGTCTCTCGTTTATCCACATTTTGTATGAGTTTATTTTCTTGTTTTATTAAATTTATTATTTCGTTTTAATTAAAACGTCTCTTAATTGTGTGACCGAATCAGATCGAATAGGCGTGTTAATCCGCGTGTAAAACAATTGATTAACTGGTGTCGGGACCCTGACATTCGGGATAAAGACTTCGCTGTCTTGAATCCCCTTTTACCTAAATATTACAGCCCTCCCGGTCAAACGAATCTTGACATAAGATCGGATCTCTCGATCCGAAACTCGGAGAACTATTCTCGCGGACTAGTGCCGATTAAGTGTTACACGAGTATTACCTACTCCGTAACCCCGGCTGATCTCACAATATTTAGAATGGAATTTCAGAGTGGACATAGGCTGTATATTATTCCGTTAAACATTTATATAAATTAA